CTGAGGAAGGATACAAAACTGCTCAAGGCTGAAATTGGCTCACAAATAGAGACGCGGAAAGCACGATCCGAGACACAAATCGGGATTTGATTCTTAAAAAATTTACCTCTTTCAGTGAGGTAGGGACCCCTAGGAACAGCTGAGGCACAACCGCGACTCGAAGGTGTGCATCAAAGGCACTGAGGCTTTGCTTCAATCTCTATGACCGCTGCCGTTCTATTCGTTTGCACTACAAGCGCTGTTTGCGCCCTCTTTTAAGGCGTGCTCTCTGGCGTGTTCCCTCTCCTTAACGCGCTGTGTTTCTACGCCGTACCACCAGCAATCTCACAACAAAAGAAGGCCCTTTTATGTTTTTTAGGATGCGTTTTGCTTTCCTTCATCAATGAAGCTTCTCTTTGCGACCCTTGTTTCATACTGGAGCGGAATAACATAAAAATACGATCACACCGTATCTTCAACCTTCATGACGTTCTTATCATCGTCGAGTTCTTTTCGAGAAAGCACTTCACATCAAACAGACGTTTCTCTTATTGCACTGTGGTTGCATCGGCGTACTGCTTTCTGGATGAGCCTCACTTGAAGGATGCCATAGGAAAGGTCGAAGGTCGAAGAAGGGGAGCCTTACCTAGTGGGGAGACAGGCGGACCCCTAAGGGTGCGGACCGACATGCAATTCACTGTGAAGGATATGCCCCTTGTAATCTAGCATGGCCCTCCCTGGCGCTGTTGGCGTGCTACAGCGCGGTACGCCTCCGTCTCGCTGTCTGAGTTCTAGCCGTTTAGCAGAGAGAGCGTTAGCGTTGAAGAGGGCAGCACCGATGAGAGTCGCATCAATGCGGAAATCAACGGGCAAGGAAGGGGTCCCATTTCTCGGTTCTAGGCCATTTTCTCATTCTTCTTCTTTCGTGCATCACTGACCATCTCTAACTTAATTCCAATGACCTGCATTTTCATTGTAAAGTCCGCTTATGAAGGAATCTTCCCGAGAACTCTTGCACTCTTTCTAAGATGAATGCAGTTGTGATCACCAGAGACAACATCAAAGTTCATACAAGAAGATCCAACATTCGAATAGAAACAAACTTGTTTTTATCCTCCCAGACAAGTCTGGTACCAATTAACCGACCCCGGAGGGATGGAAGGCTTGGTTGGCCCGGGCGACTCACGACCCAGGATTTGATCCCCGGACCGCTCGCGTGGTAAGCGCCCACTTGCCACTACACCACTTCCGCCCACTGGATGCAGTAGAGAGGAGAAATGCTGTTGCTGCCATGGGTAGAAAAGCCAAAAAAGGTTCCTAGTGAAGGCACTCTGAGAACCAAGTGGAATCGTTCCCGTCGCCAACATTTGTGGCAGATGTACGGCGGAATTTGGAAGCGTAACCGTCGTTCCAGCTCGAATTCTTGGCCAGAACAAACGCATTTTTAACATTCGCAAGGCGAACTGCGGCCAAAAACAGCAGTTAACAAATAAAACAAGCATTTTTTTGATTTGTAGATGGTGGGTCTCAGGCCTGTGATTTGTTGGTGAGACAGAATCATGATTTTCCCGTAGATGATTCTTTTACAATAGTGATAGCGCCCACTCGCGTTGATACAGAAACAACAGAAAAGTCAAACTGATGGGGCTGCTCTACATGTCATTATCATGGCTCTAATACCCAGTGACAGCAGCAATAAATTACTGTTCCCACATCAAAAGGTGTAGAGGCACGGGTCTCGATGGTCCTTAAAGAAGTTCACTTCTCAATGAGCTTGCAGTACCCTTAATCACAAGGGTGTTGGTGTTGTCGCGACCTGAAAGTAAGCGACAAGCGAGCTAATGCTTTCGCTTGACAGCTGCGACCGTTGCTATCCTTATAATCGCAACATATTTAGGTGTCTGTGCCCTCTCGCGTACGATATGCACTCTCGCGTTTTCCCTGTACTCCAAACCCTTCTCACCCTCTTCCACAGTCGACCTCACAAGAAAAATTCGCCGGTGCCTTTCGCTTTTTTCCCCACTGGCCTTCACCTCTCACTTCTTTTTAGCAGAACATCGCCAATTCGATCACGATCCGTGCCTTCAGAATTGATCCAACAATATTCTGAACAAACGTAGAAGTTGGCCAGCTCTTCCTAGCCCTCGAATTTTGCCCGAATTTCAGGTAATTTTCTGAAAGAACGACCAGACCTCAAAGAGATGCGAAGAGAGTTTGAGCTAAAATTTGACAATCATGAGTATCGTGGATATGTGCTGTTATTCGACAGTTGCTTATGGTTTTGGGTGGGTTCAAAGTAAGTTTCTAATCGTTCTCATTTTTCAGTAGTATCTCGGTTCAACATGTTCTATATCTGGTAGCCTCATATTGAAGTACTGTAGGGTTCTGCATGAATGACAGAAATGGCAAAAAACAGCTCAAAGAAAGTTACTTAAGGGATATCACATCACTCGGACTTTCACTTTTTCCGATGTCGTCAATGTTAATTGACACACCGAACACACAGAATGTCTGCGTGAAAGCTGTGACAACCCGAATCGCAAAACATTTTCAAGGGAAACAGGTAAAAGTTACTCCATGAAAAACAAATTCTTACGGAAGTTCGGGTTATCTTATGAATAGGATATCAAGAAATCTTCGCGGTTTTTTAGGTGGATATTTACAGGGTGAGGCAAAATTGTGGTGCACTTTTATCTGTCAGCATTTATGACTAACTTTTAGTACTCAATTCTGACCATGAATATTATTTGTAGAAAAGATGGCAATTCCAAAATTGTTTTGAAATACTTGCCGCTAGCTTCACACACCCTTCAAACGAGAAGAGCATCGGGTGCAGACCATACACCACAAGTGACGACGGCCTCCAAGTAAATCTGGTTAGTAGTGGTTCATAGTGATAGCTGATTTTTGGTAAATGATAGTTGTAATTAGTGACAACTGATAGAATACAACTGCAACAGGCTAATCATTTCATTGGCAGAAAACATTTACCCTATTTTCCGGTGTATAAGCCCGCGCTAGTATCATGTAAAAACACCTCCACTGGTGCAGTGTACTTGAGTACATCTAGAGTCAACCGTAACATGCCCATAGGGGTAATTCGATATGCTGATCACGAAAACGACATTCGTTTTTAGCGGTGGCGGCATCTGGCGCCAGTTGGCGCCACCTTGTCACGACCCTTGTTTTCGCCAAAATCGGTGTAAACTTCAGTATAGGGGTTATTTGGAAAAAAAAAACCCTTGGACAAAAAAAAAAATTTATACGAACGAATATGACATTCGTTTTTGGCGTTAACGTTGTTTAGTGCACATATCTCGGTTGGAGAGCGCAGACGAGCAGAAAATAGGCGTCAAACAGCGCCAGCGCCTATAATGAATGTCATATTCGTAATCAGGGTCCCAAATAACCCCTATACTGAAGTTTACACCGATTTTGACGAAAACAAGGGTCGTGACAAGGTGGCGCCAACTGGCGCCAGATGGCGCCAGCGCTGAAAATGAAAGTCATTTTCGTGATCAGGGCATCGACTTACCTCTATAGGCAAATTTGCGGTGGTTTCTAAGGTGTACAAAGTTACACTGCACGAGCGGGGGTGGTTTTACGTGAAATCGGCGCGGGCTTATACACCGGAAATTAGGGTAATTTTTTGTATAGCATCTTATACGAAGTAATACGGTTAGCATACGACGCTCCGTTCTGTCGTTTTCCTGGGAGAGAAGTGTCCTTCACCTTCAGCTGTCGTCGCATGCGCACATCGGTACCTTCCCGCTTCAAAAAAGCGAGAAATTGTCGTGGGTCGGACCATCACCACAAAGACGACGCCTCACACAACGTTAATTGTTTTTTTGCCAGTAAAAAAAAAATTGGGAATTTTTGTTGCCTGTTGCAGTTGTATTCTATCGATTGTCACTAATTACAACTATCATTTACCAGAAATCAGCTATCACTATGAACAACTTCTAACCAGATTCACTTGAAGGCCGTCGTCAGCTGCGGTGTTTGGTCTGCACCCGACACTTTCTCGCTTTTTAAAGGGGAGATTATTTCCCATCAATTTCGGTCCACGATTTCAGAAAGCGCCTATTGGAGGGTTCAAATTTGGGTGTATAATGAACCAAGACTTTTCTCTTCTAGGCAGCCTATTTGAAATCATATCAGTCTAATCCGGAGAACTAGAGAGTCATTCGTCGAACTGATGAATTTGTTGATCTGCTCAACGTTTTGTTCCTGGTCCACTCTGGTCAGTGTCGGGCAAAGCCTTTGCTGAATTTACTCGTAACGTTTTTCAAAGTAAAGACTTGCTCATTGGGTGGGATTCTTTTCCTTCCCATAGGAGGTATAATTCTGCAAAGGCTTGCTCCAGCAAAAGACGACCGCTTTTTGTAGCGAAGAACCTTTTTCGCTGCCAGAAACCCAAAGGTTCACCACTGTAGAAGAGTGGAGTTAGGGCTCTCGTAGCGAAAAAAAAAGTTTCGCAATGCGGAAAGCGGAAAAGTCACTTTCTGTCCTAGCGATCCACACCCACCCATCGATGGCGACAGACTCCTTTCTTCTTCTTCTTCTCCCTAGCGTTAGTCCCGCGCAGTCGCAGGGTCCGCTGTCTTTGTCAGTCGTCGCCACTTTAGTCTGTCCAGGGCGTCCTCTGCTGTGGCCATGACTTCACTTAGATCCTTCTTGATCACATCTCTCCACCTCTTCTTTGGGGCTCCTCGCGGTCGCTTGCCTTGCACTTCGAAGTCCATCGCTGTTCTTATCGGATGATCCTGTGGCCTCCTTAGCACATGCCCATACCATCGCAGACGCTGTTCTCCGTACCTTCAGCTGGACAGGGGCAGTCTGCATGACCGCTCTGACATCCTCGTTTCTGACCTGTCCAGCCGCGTCCAGCCGCAGGCCCATCTCAGCATCCTCATTTCAGGCGGAGTGAAGCTGCCTTTCGTGATTCTTGTTCAGGGGCCAGCACTCGCTGCCGTATAGCATCGCAGGCCTTACCACTGTCCGGTACACCTTCCCTTTGAGCGCTCTGGAGCACCTTCGATCGCAGAGGATTCCAGTGGACTCCCTCCATTTCATCCATGCAGCGTTGACCCGAGCCTTCACTGCCTGATCCACACTATTCCGTGGCTCCCTCCCAAGGCTGTCCACGATCGGAGCTCTGCACCGCTCTTCGGGCTCGAAATGATATTCTCTTGAGCATCAGACCGAGCCCACTTTTGTCAGGAAAATTCCTGTCCATTTGGCGCCGGACTCGCTTGAGATAACTATAATGCTATCTTGCACATCGGCTATTTGTATAAGCCAAATCGCATTTGAGATGAGCTTCCAGATCGAGCGTGAATTGAAGCATAAGGGTAAGTATTAGGTGTTTCAGAAAGTTCTGTCGTTTTCCAGCCCCTAATTTTAAATGCACGTATCTCGGCTTGGGCTAAACCTTTCGAGTTGATTAAAAAACCATTTGAAAGCGCGAATCTTGTTCTATAAGAAACCGTTCAACAGGGTACGTTTATTTGGAATGCTGGACCTCTGGAGGCGATGAACTGAGGGAAGGTCGTTTTAGCATCATGTTGGTTTTTGATGTATTTCTCTTCAAGGAAGCTATCGAGATCGTCAGAAGTTTGACAGTAGATAGTTCAAAGGTCTACTAAGTAAGATGTTCGCAGAACCACTCTGAAGTTCAGCTGGTACAACTTGTGAAGGGTTGGCCGTGCGATGTGCGTTCAAGACACCTTTCAGGGATGTGTGTGTTCCTTTATAATGAGGAATGCTGGACCCATGTCCTAGAGTTTTTGATGATTTTTGAATTAGTATAAAGATTGATTCTCCACTGTAACAGTTCCATCTGATACTGAAGAACATGGCCAGCCGCTGGCCCCATGAAAGCTGCCACAACCCTCCTCCAGCACAGTTTAAATTCTGCAAAGTTTGTAGAGCTTCATCGCCGTCGATCTATTCAGCAAACTTTCGTAGACTATAGAGAAGAATCCGCTCTTTATTGTACGTCGCAAATCTGTAGAGAAACGAGTCGCTTTCACCACATAAAACCAGCGACAATTTGATGGACGATGCTTCAAATTGGTGATTTGTCGCGGCACGCCACTATCGAATTTTTTAGACTTTCCAGCTTCTTCCGTATAGCTTGGCTGTACAAACCATATACGCCCACGTTGGGCAGAACCTCCTCTATGGTCTTACGCACAAGTGCTTCAATCAGAACTTTTGGCTAATCGGAGACACCGTCCGATGTCCGACCACTACTCTCATCATATTCAAGGCTCTCGCCTTCCTTACAATAAATTTTTTAACTACTGCTTCTGAGCACATTTATTGCAAATCTAGGCCCAAAGCATCGTTGATATCTTGAACTGATCCCGCCACTTTCAGGTCTATTTAAAGCTAGAAAAAGAAAGTCATGCCAGCTTGCTCCTCGAGTATACTGAATTCAAAGCTTTGAAAAAGCTATAAGAAAATATTTTAGGATAAAGTTGTGCTGAGCATTGGATAGAGCTGGAAAAGTTCTTCAAAATGACATCAACATCAATTGCAGCTTTCCTAGATTTCAAGGGAAATAAAGCATCCAAAAGTGGAATGTCAGAAAACGACAGAACTTTCTGAAACACCTAATAATTGCAAAAAGTATGTTAATCTACCGCGATTATTGACGATCATTTTCATGTGGCAGCACACTGTTTTCAATACTGATAAAAAGGATAAAGGATAAAGCATTTGCCGTTGATCAATCCCTTTTTGGGATGCGGCACGCATTCTACTTCCATTTGTACATTCGTAGTGGCGTTTGAATGCGATGTGGCCTATACAATGACTTGCGGGGGCCAGCCGATGTACAAGTCAGTGTTTTTATCCTCCCAGACAAGTCTGGTACCAATTAACCGACCCAAGTCTGGTACCAATTAACCGACCCCGGAGGGATGGAAGGCTTGGTTGGCCCGGGCGACTCACGACCCAGGATTTGATCCCCGGACCGCTCGCGTGGTAAGCGCGCCACTTGTCCACTACACCACTTCCGCCTTTCATACTGATATTGATATAAATATTGTTGTAACTTGGAACCGAATTTTTACAGGTGTTCTTCTCGTCGGATATCGATGAAGAGGATCCGGTATTCTGGCAGCACCTCTTTGTGGCGTTACAACCGGAATTTGAGCGCATCAATGCGATGATCTTATAATGAACTACTATTCTATTTGTTGGTTCTCTAATGTTTTTGTTTGTTGTTGTTGTTATTCATCATTACCGTTCACTGTGTAAAAAAATCTGCGAACTTGTAAATGTTGAAATGTTTTCGGCTATGTTTGAACCACGAAATTACAGTTCTCGGTACCTTGAAGGTACGGTCGTGATCAGATTCTCAAAGGCACGGGTCGCGATTAGGTTCTCAGGGCAATTTTCCATTGAGTGGTAGTGAAAATCCCTAATCACAAGGTCGTGGCCGCTATCGCAAAACTAAAACAGTGTACAACAGGAGCTAATGCCGACTACCCCCCCCCCCCCCCTGATCTCTGCAGCCGCTTGCATTCTTTATCCTCTCGCTCCTTCGACAGCACATGTTGGCCACCGCTCGTGCACCGTACCTCTCGTGTTTTCCTGTCCTCGCAAAGCGCCCTTTCCTCTCCTTCTTCCGAACGGCAACGCTTACACTGAGCGACGTCCCTAATTTCAATGTTTGCTGTGGTTCTTTTTGCCTTTTTCCGCAGTGACAATCTTTTTATTTCCGAAGCGAAATAGCAAGAAATACGGTAATGATCGTGCCACTGACCTTTGGGACAATTTTCTTCCAATCATTAGTGGCCAATTCAATTATTCATGGAAGAAAGTCCCTAAAACAGTACATAAAGGGATAAAAAACGTAGTAAGTTTTTAACAACTGTCACAAATAGGCATACCAAATACAAGTCCACAGATTATTACACAAAAAGCACCGATGAGACATCATTCACTTGTTTTTTAACATTCATAACAAACAGGCGTTACGTGGCTCACCGTAGGGCGGGGACGACTTCAAATAGTAAGTTACTGGCCAAAGTGACTTTGCATATCAAACTTTTGTCGCAAAAAAAAATGGGCTCACGCAACCCAATCTTAAATTGCCTTTGTTCCCCGGCGCAGTATCTCCCGTTTCAGTAAGAAGGGAGCATTTCCTCCCCGTCCCCACTCCACACCCCTTAGAGGCATTCAGTGATATTCTGGCGCTCAAGACTTAAGGGTGGCCATTAAAAAGCAGGCGGATGGTAGGCGACATTAGCTTAAAGCAACAATCCAGGAACGAATTCGCGGGTAAGGACCACCTATAATGACGTTGCAGGTGAGAAGTTGGTCAATGGAGAAAGAAAAAGTAGAAAAAAACGTCGGGCAGGGGCTTAGACAGGGACTCCCCCTGCCGTTTAGGGAGACGTGTGTTGGACGAGTTGTCCGAACCTGCCCGTAGTACATGCGCTCCAATTGCAACTGCTGGCAAATAGCCATGCATGCTTGCAAATACATAACTATTTGCCAGCAATCGAAATTGAAGCGCTTCAATTGCGTTCTTATGGAATCGACCTCATACAGCGCGGCGGTCCCGCAACGACCGCTAGTCGAGCAAGCGCTCTGCACAGCTGCTTGGAGGCGGCCCCACCACGGATCGGTGGATCCGCCCCTCTTGAAGGATTTCGACTGCTTCCAACGCCTTTCAGAGGTAAGTTTTGAAGTTTGTGACATTTCCCATGAACTCCAATCAGGCTGAGGCATGTTTCCACCACTTGAAAACCAAATGGTTGAAACCCTGCCTGGACTGTTGCTTTAATTATTAGTTGAGGACCAACGCAAGGGGAGTGACATTCCCGTAAGCAATCCCAGAATCCCCTCCTCTCCCTAAGGCTTGGTCGGCGCAATGCAGGCAGTGGCCACGACGGGGGGCCAGTCGTCGCGCGCGATCTCTGCATTTTTCTGTGCAAGCATTTCCCCTTCGCTAAATCGGGACTAAGCCAGGGGAGGACGAACTCCAGGATCATAGCAATTTCCATCTTCCCAATGTTCCTGCCCACTCCTTAGCTTACCAGGAAGGTCTTTCAGGGCGTGACAAGCTTTTTGAAAACGGTCTTTTGCATGAGCATGATAGGGGCAGATGCGGGGACCACAGAACCATGTTTAATTTTTCCTGAACGGCCCTCTGAATACCAGAAAAGGGGTCCCTAGTTCGATTCCTCGTGGTGACAAATTTTTGCATTTCGAGTTGACGTTCCAAAATTCGCGCAAAATGGAGTTAGCATGAATAATAGTACCATATTCATGATTAGGCCCGTGATAATCTCACAAAAAGGCTGGACTCAAAATTGGGCAAAGAGTGTGGACACAGCTCCACTGTGGTATCACAAGCTTTTCACCAGTTTTTCAATCAAAAGTTCTATTTGTTTAAAAAAAAAAGGGTTACTAACTTGCCTAATCGCATATGGCATAATTATTCATGGCTCCAACTCATTTTGCGCGAGTTGTGTTTTTTGATTTTTTTAGTTTTTGTTTATTTTTGAAACGTCAACTCGAAATGCAAAAATTTGTCACCACGAGGAATCGAACTAGGGACCCCTTTTCTGGTATTCAGAGGGCCGTTCAGGAAAAATGAACCATGCTTCTGTGGTCCCCATATGTGCCCCAATGTCATGCAAGAAACCATTTTGAAAAAGCTTGGCACACCCTGACTTTCCTGATTAGTACTATCAGGCCACGGACGAAGCAAACGCGGAAAAGCGCGGCGCACTGCCCCCCTCCCTGGAGCACATGACGGCTTCGCCCGCACAGCGTAATTGTTTTCTCATACGATTGTCCGATCCCCCGTTCACCTCACCTGTATCACCTGTCGTCCCGTTGATCATCGAATTGCTCGAGCGGGCGCCAGCAACGTCTCCATTCGTCCCTGTCGCGTGCAGAGTTGTCCAGTGGACCCTCCTCGCTCGAGGGACACGAAGTCCTTCATTCCTTTCGTTCGAAGCATATTCATTCTTTCGTTCCGAGCCCCGTGTTAGAACAGAAACGACTCATCCGACTGTTTTGCAGCGGCAAGCCATTTTTTGCTGCGGGACCTTGGTCACCGCTCATCTCAGCGCGCTTAGATCGCGACGTCATAGTCGGCGACGGAAACAATGCGATGGAGGCGATCGCATTTGCTTTGTCCCGTTCGCCGACTTTATGAACGTCGGTTTAAGGTATCCCTTCGCAGATATGTTTTCGCGCTGCAAACCGCGAAAAACCCCTCCTGTCCTAATGAACACAACTGCGAGCATGATCGTCCACTAGGAACAGAGCTGCGCGCGCCGTCAAATAAGATGTACCGGCCGCGGCAATGCGGCGAGATCAGCCACTCCAGGGTAGGCCGGACGCATAGTCGGTCGGACGACAGCAACGACTGCAAGTGTCGCAAGATCAATACGCAGCTACTATTCCACACTACAGTGGGACTTTCGAAATACGATCACGCGCAGTCACGTGTTGTCTGGGTTTGCATTGGGTGACCGCGTCGCCTTCCATTTGCGACCGCGGTTTATGCGACACCTGCAGTCGTTGCTGTCGTCCGACAGCAGCAGTCGTTGCTGTCGTCCGACCGACTATGCGTCCGGCCACTGTGTTGTTCAGCCTTTACTGTTGACGAGGGCAGGTCCGTTGCTGCAGACAACTTTTTTGTTTACGCCGCTGAACGTCTCATGATTTGTTCGCGTTCAGTTTCAGGCTGAAGAAAGTTTCTACCTTTGTTGACCGCGAGGAGTGGCGTATGTCATTGATTAGCCTGTTACTGTTCCTTTCATCACTCTTTTCAGAATGCTCCGTACCGCTGGGAGGAGCCTCGGATTCCGCTTGACGACATTCCGTGCACTGAGCACTGAAAAACCAAAACCACCGAAGAAAACTAAGGAAGAGATCATGAAAGGAGAAGACTCCTCCGGGAAAGTTGGATGAGGTGGTATGGCTTTCTATATTTCGCTATAAATTTGGAACAATGATCAAGTGCATACAAATGGACGCGGTTATAGTTGTTTTTTGAGTTTCGTAATGATTTTTTGTTAGTTATTAAAAGCTGCAGTGATATTTTTCATTCTTGCCACGCGGTTTCGTCAACAATGTGCTGCTTCGGAGCCGTCTCAGTACCAAAAGTAGTACGCGATGAGGCGGTATAATTTCAAGCGAAGGAATTCAAAACCCTCAGAAACAATCCCAAAATCGTCCAGAACCAATTCTTCTATTCCTCCCTGACATCGCTTGAAAGCTTCAACCTTAGCTGATGCAGAACTATGCTTGACCCTGCCATATTTACGTGCAGTGCATCGAAGTAGCAGAGTTTTGCAGAATAACTGCAAAGCTGTGCAACTTCGATGCACTGCGCAGAAACTACGACTTTGGGCTTGTTTTTGAGTCTTCTGAGCTCACGCAGTGAAACAGTGGCACTACTCTGTGTAGTACAACATTTGGGTTGCATAAACACTGCTGCAAACTTGATTGGTTTTTTTTTAGTTTTTATTGATCGATTGCAATAGTGGAAGCTAAGAAAAACGCTACCACAGCATAGCCGTATCAAAAAAAAGCAAAAAAAATACCGAAGGAGAAGAATTTTTTCAGAAACCGTATGAAGATCCGTATCTACCGAGACATCCAGGCGGAGTGAATCCCATTACTGGAGAGGTTCGTTCGTCTTGATCGGGTATTGAAGATTTTCAAGTATTCATTCTTTCGATCTATTCTCCAAGAAGAGCATTGTTTGTGTACTTTGTGCTGTCATAATATAATCAAATTCTAGCGCAAGTGAATATTACTGCTTTTCATAGAGAGTGATGAAGAAGTGAGAAAGCTAAGGTTGCATCAGCACATCATACCTAACCACTTTCAGTACGCATTTAGTTATCGTATGCCCATTTCATTAAGTGACCAAAGAAACTTTTATGGGAAGACCGCTCACTTCCTTAGCGTCTAACTTCCTCCTGC